AATTATAATATCGCAGCCATTAGAAATGTGAATTTGAACACTTTCTTTCTGCCACGATTTGCCCATTTTTCATTTGAGGCCCGCTCTATATTGAATTTTTGTGTCAACAATTTCACAACGTTGTGATCGGTGAGTTGTTAATTTGATGTTGGTTACATTTCCCATATTAGTTGCATATTACTCCTTTGAATATTGTTACTATTTATTATACATTATTAACAAAGAGTTACATTTTATTGTCTACAACAAAACCCAGTGTCGAAGATTTGAATTTAAACAAATAAAACACTGGGTGTCATGGTGGGTTCTAAACCTGATTATTTTACAAATTATTAAGATCATCTAACAGCTGATATGAGTCAATGACCTTCACTGAATCATCACCGCCCACTCATACACCACATTGAACCAAGTTGGCAACCAGGCTCCTAATAAAACAAAAAGTTCGATAACCAGGCTCCTACAAAAACAAAAAAAAATAAATCAAACAATGACCCAAAACGAACAATCAGTCATTCGATTACAGACATGAAAACAGACAGAGACCACTTCAATACCAGTATTAATAATCTGCAATTATACGACAGCAAATGACATTCTTTACTTTACACGAGTCATTCTGTAATTAAATAAAACACGTTTTCCTTGCCAGACGATGTTACTGTTGTGATTCGTCTTATAATCATTATGTTCACTAATGTTTGAATACAAGCCTTAACAAGTATTCCCTCCGTGGTTGCATTATCGTTGTACATGACGAACATTCTCGATATGCTTACTTACTGTGTTTCACTAACTGCGTAGGAAATACATGACAAGTCAGGTTGTTAAAGTCATTGTTTTCCCATGTAAAATTTATTTTGTCACGAACCATTTTGTGCAATTCGAAATATTATACAGATAAAGAAATGTTTGCATTACATAAAACACTAAAAAGAACATTTTTATTTTAATACTAGGCACACATAATTACGGAGTACTATTAAAACCTGCGGCGAATAGTTTAAAGAACAATAAATGTGTCTCCAATTATAATGGCGAGTTTCTTCGGTTCTTAATGATGGCATGTGCCAGGCGTTAGCCAGTACACCTGCAACACATAATGCTGGTGATAGGCTACCTAGACCAGTTGCGTAACGTGAGTAATACAGATATGACTTATAGGCGAATATCGACAGATAACAACAAATACTGATACTATAGTTTGTACCATTTGCTGGACACATGTCCGCGCATGTGTCATCTTCTTGATTCCACTTAAAGCTTATATGTGCCTTGCACTCACTGTATGTCAAGTAAAGAACATGTTAAAACCATTTTTTTTACTAACAAAGGTATTGACATCTCTCATTTATGACCACATTTTTCGTATGATAGTTATCTCACCTTGAAGATTGTTTGTCGTCCCAAATAACGTAATTGCATCATCTAAACCCGTAATGTCATTAGTATTTTTAAAAACAAGAGATATTCATTGTCATAGTGGTAGGCAAATTGGTTCATCGTCCCTGGGGAAAAACAATCGAAAATTCAATTTTTATTTACTTTGAGACAATTAGACCTACACTTTAAATGAAACAATATTAAATATAACAGCATCAATGGGTATAAATTGTTCGTTATTTGAACAAGTTGAGAAATTGACTCAAATACAAATAAGACACAACTACACATTTGTCACCGTACATGTTTACACACAGTATTACTATTTTGTGTGTAAAACGATATAGCTTAACACATGATAACATGTGATTGTGCTATTTTAAATGATGTGATAACAAGTAACTGTAACTTATGTCTAATATACATAGCTAATACAATGACTGTCAAAGAAAGGACCAAATTATATTTTGATATTTCAATAGAGACCGACCACCCGACCTGAAACAGCATTTTTATTGAACACATCTTTTACCTTTATCTTTACAATATTCGTACGTTGTTGGTGATAAACACAGGCATTCACATTCACTGTCCGCAACTGTATACACGCAGTTGTCCTAATATTTAAACATTAGCAAGGGTAAACCATCTACGGCATTGTTTGAGGATGGATTATATATGCCGTCACAATGTGGCGTCACATAGTCATTTTTTTTTTGCCAACCAGCTTGCATAAGTGTGATTACAAATGTGGCTCACTGATCAACACAGGCTCGCTATCCGCCACTATCACATTGCACATGATTTGTTTTATTAACGCAAACACAAACCTGTATATTTAACAAGTATGGTAGCGAGTAACAGCGTTTTTTTTATTTGTATTTGGTTGCGAACGATCCGTTCCAGCCAATCAGTTAATATGAGTCACAATGAATCCCGAGATATGTCACATTTATAATTATGTCAAAGCATAGTAAGTATATGTATAGAACTGACGATATCATTCCTACGCGAAAGTATTCACATATTCATATAACAGTACTGACTATAACTAAGTAATTATATTATTGTTTTCGTCTTTGAAATACTACGTCGGTTGTGTTTGAACTACGAATAGATAGAAAATACGTATACGGAAACACGTATCGTATATACTTACATAATAACAAGGGCAATATCGATTACAGTCTGTAGTTTTGTTTATAATACTCATATATACATTTGTATCTTGTACATGGGCAAGTCTGTAACGTTTACACTTATCTATATTGTCCATGTTATCAATTATCGCTGTTTGTCCAACCCGCTCAGTCTTAAGAAAACAAAAGATTGCAACTGAAAAAAATATGTTGGTTGCAGTACAGACGAATAATATAAGGTTATTACAAGGATATTGCAAAGTATACACGAGAACAGTACAGCAAGAGTATAAACCGACGTGCAGAGGAGGTCAATGGGACTGCTACTGTCTGAATATCCTCGTAATAACCTTATTATTGAACATCTTTTTCTCCCACGAATACATCATGAGGATGCCGAAATTCAAGACATTTAGAACATATTTAGCGAACTTCTTTGTGTGGGGTCTGGTCAAACTCTGTGGGCAGTCATGTTTTTTTATCATCAGTGGACGTTTTCGCGCATAATAATTCCATATTTGGAATTTGCGTTTTCTAATATGGTAGGATGAAAATACCCAGTCTAAAATTCTTTATTAGTAATTTCTTTCCTAATTGTAAATTTTTCAAAATTAGGACTGGCGTTACGATGACAGTTGTATAATAATAATCTAATAACTTGTTTTTATCTTTTTTAATTATGAGTACGTTATTTGAGATGATTTGTTTTTCTTCCGTTTCATTTTCATGTTTTTTTTCATCTGCAATAATTTAATTCGTAATATTAGTTAAATCAACCAAAGCCTAATAGGCGGCGGTCGTCGCGCTATGCATGTGCGACATTTGTGTTGATAAACATTGATTTTTCCACAATCCAATGCGCTTTTCTTATGGAAATCACAATTTAACCTCGGCGCGACTTGCACTAATTACCGCCGGTGACTCCTTCGATACATTTTAATCACTAAATAATTAAACTTGGTAACGTCTCAGTTTGTACTCTATATCTGCACAACAGTCAAAGTCGCCATCTTTGTTTTATATGAGACAAATATACCTAACACATGCGTGGCGCGACGACCACCGCCATTTAATTTCGCAAAGCTAAGGGTTTTGTAAATTGGTAAAATATTATTTAATAGTTATTATAAATTTACAATGCCTTACTCATTTCTATAAGCCCAATCTGTAAATATTCATATATTAGAAAAACAATTTGTATATTTTCTACTTTGTTGCATTTCATTTTATTGAACTATATTAAAATGCAACCCAATATTAACATGAGTTAAGTTAAAACTTAAATGAATTACTACTATATACATTATTTGTTGGTCGCCTTATGAACGGTATGACATCATTTTACACTTGCTTACGCTTCATAAACTACTCTGATACTTGTTACGAGTTTAGCGAATTAATCGTACTACTTTATTTTATGGAATAACATTGTGACTGTGGGGAAAATAATCTAACATGATGTTATTGAAAAATGTCTTTTTCCTAGAACGTGGCTATCATTTAATAAGTGATTTACGAATCATCATATTTTTATATTTCATTGATTGCTATTATAGTTCAATGCTTTATATTTTGAATCTGTTTTTAACTGATACGATCGATGAAATGTATCAGTGTGTGAACATACCTAGTGACCTGAAAAATTAAAAACCAAATTGGACATAAGGATCGTGGAGAGTTCCATGGCAATATATGTCGACACTTCACACTTACTTCAACCGACTTCAACGACCACAACACAAGTGAATGAGATTGTACTACGCAGTTGATCGCGGCGACCAGCTACGCCAGAAGGAACATAATTTGTATGTAACTCAACCCTTATAAGATGAACTTGACAATATGTGTTCTTTATGGTCCACTATTTCCCGAGGAACAAGTACATAAGTAGCCATTCAGTCAAAGACGAGACAATTTAATGATAAATGTGCTTTATATATACGTATCGGCAATGGAAGCTGCCAAGTAAGTTCCCCTTTCATACGTCATCAGTGGTATTTCTGTATGCAAGTGAGAAGCTGACGGGAATCCTCACTTTGAAATACATACAAAAACGTTGCCGTAAACCGTGTTTAAAACCCTTTTATTCCATTAAAAAAAGCATTTTATGCTTAGAAACATGAAAATAATATTATTGATGTACCAATAAATGATTTTAGGCGAGAAATTAGCAGGCATTTCACAGGCACTTTAACACCTCAATTTCTTCTATCGATTAATTATATATTTTTGAGGCAGTTTAGTTTGAAGCAATTTTGTACTTCAGATGATTTTGTTTGATTTATATTTTTTTATTTATTAAACATACACTGACTAGGTATTAGTTTAATGAGTGCTTCTCGCCAATGAGTTTGACTTTGTTTACAGTACTTTGAATAACGGCTTCTGTCTAGAATATTAAGCATTATGTGCGTTATACAATCAGTTAATGTCACAAGAATACTCGACACATTACCTTTCATTCATTATAAGACCTACCCTATAGTAATCCATGTTTCTGAGCCCCTGAAAATCAACACACTGTCGTTTTTTAAGTATATCCCTCCTCAACAGGTCTTCGGAAACATCCGGTTCCTTCTCCGTGATATGGATATCATTCACGTCAGAATCCGACTCGATATAATCTCGATGCATTACTAAATGACCACTACTGTCCATCACAAAGCAACTGAATGTACAGAAACAAATACATAAACTGAAATATATTTACGACGCTGCTTCATTCAGTATATATAAACGAAAGGTGTTATGCAAAAGTGTTGGATCAGTGATATATTGTGCTTTAAAATATGTGTGGAATAATGTAAATGTAATGTATGGGTACCTACATGGGTTCCACGGATAACTTCCGATGATGAGTTTTCAACTTTAGAATTTACACAAGAGTAAATATAAACACGATGTGCATCCATTGTCATAATGTAAGGCCTTGAGAGGGCCACCCAAAGAACTCACACTGGACAGGGGTTTCTTTCACTGCTAGTATGGGGTAGACAAGACAATAGTACTGGAAATTAAATACACATACACCAAAATATCGAGTTGAAGCTTTTGGCTTTAATACCTCTCAAAATAATTACAAGAAATAAAGCACCGAAAAATACAATGAATAAAATCACTAAAATAGGGGATTGCTTAGGAAAGTGTGCATTGGTGATAACTCACTGTTCCAGGGTGTATTGTTGGACGACAGTCAATGGTTTCTGCAACACAACAACATATAAATACAGGAGTCTTGCTTGCAGAGGAACGCTGGTATTCTGGAGGGCACCGCTGAAAGCAGGAGATTGTAGACTGTAATATCGTATTGTAGCAGAACACACAGGAAAGCAAGTTGAAGTGACGGACACCAACTTGAAATTATCGACCCAAACTGTCCTGAGTCTGTCCAATTGATAGGCAGTGACACCACCTGGGTTTCCACATGAGCCAATCAGAATGTAATCTTGCTAGCAGCTGTGTCACGTAGGCAACTCAGTAGATCATAAACATCCTTTGTTATTCAAATAACAACACACCTGGTAGATTCCAATTCTCCTTCCAAAATTGTAAACACCCTTTGTTATGTAAATTCAAGCACACCTGGTAGAACCCGCTCTCCGTCCAGAGTTGAAAACAAGTATGACCGGTCAATCACCTTTATGACAGTTATCACAATGCACACCGTTTTTTCCCACGATTCCATGCACACTTCCATTTGCAGGGTTTGAGGTGATTTGACAAAAACATAAAATAAAGGATGCTAACACAGACTTAACTGATAAATAAACATTGACAATGAAACTAAACCAATGTATGTAAAGAGATGTTATATAAGGCTTGCGGCCCCGCAGTGGGTTTAGCATAAGCATTGTCTTGGTCTTTTTAACTGTCTGAAAGATATATGTATCTCTTTGTCGTCGTCCAGGTCACTCGGTTAAAGTTAGTTCACAGAGGCGGCAGCACGAAATAGTGCATGGGGGGATTAGACTGGCACAGTCT